TGCGTAATTTACGTTTTTCTAATTTTCTGCAATAGAATTCTGTCCGCAAATCACGCATACAGTAGACTGGGCTATCCTTGCTGTCGGAAGTTTAGACAGAATTCCGTTTTTGCGTAATTCCACGAATGTGGGAATTGTCCCAGAAAAATTAAAGGAAGTAGTTTAAACAGTTTATTAATGTCCAGAAGAGCCCACCACCGGCTCTTCAAACCCAACCAAACCTCCGGGTAATCGGAGCGCTGTTCGAGAAGGATTCTGCGTAGACCCGTTTGTTCAAACCTGCCTCGGGGCAGACCCACCCGCTAGTCGCATGCGATTGTCCGTTATATACTAATTTACTGTAACCCTAAACAAGGCAAGTTCTTTCCTCACCGCGTGACCCATTCACGTGGTGAGGTATATCGCCATATGAGAGACATTATGATGGAAACGTTCACACATGTTTCGCGAAAAGGAAGTCAGGTTCACACACCACGAAGGAAAAAAGGGAAGATTATTCCGGCCTAGCACGTGAGAAAATGAAAAAGAGTGAGAAGAAATCCGATAGCACTGAACTGTAACTGCGCATATGAGAGGTCGCGAAGAAACGATGCCCGACTGCAACCCTTCAAGACCACGTACTGCATTGCCTTCCTTGTCGTAAAAAAAGTTCTACGCATAGCACTAAACGTACATCACGATCCTGTATTTGGAGATATGTCACACTTCATTTTGCATATGCACTTCTCGTGATAAGGGACACAAATTACTTCCACACAACGGCAGTAATCATGATGCACATTGATGCAAATATCATCATGCCCATCTGGGCGGCGGAGGGTCGCCTCGTCCAAGACAAAGCTTCGAGTCGATCCTTTTCCCACAATCAACGGCCTTGTGCTTTCACCTTCACCACCGTCAGGTTCAGGTTCAGGAGAGCTTCCCAAGTATATTACCTTGTCAACAGGATACCCAACATTATCTGGATCTACTTCGATGTAAAATGGGTCGTCGCAGTCTCCATGATTGAGAATACCACCATTTGTCCGAGGACCCAAAACGTTTTTGATCAGGGCTGCAGTGCCCAACTGCGAACGAATTTCATCCTTCCCGCTGATCGTATGGTCCCTCTTTCTTGCTTGAATTTTTCTCATTTTTTTTGGAATGAGACTTGAGCATTCTATAAAAGACGCCCCTCGAACCCCTTTTGGCAAATGTTCGTCAGATGCTGCTTTCGAGCATTGGAATTCAAGTCGATAAGACGTTTTTGAGGCCTGCTCATCCCAGTGTTCTCTTGATGCGAAAGCAGGTTGAACAGACGCGGCCCCTGCGAGCAGAATTTGACATGCGAAGAGGGCCAAGAAGTACCGCATAGAGAAGGCAGTGCGATGCATGATTTGAGGATGCCGTGCGCGGTAGAAGCAGCGATGTTTCGGAGGCAACTATAGCGGACGACTTATGGCGGCCTACATATATACGGTTGTCGTTAGGGCTCGCATTGATGGATTCACGAATTCCAACGGCAAAGGTTATATTCTCTCTATTACAGTATTTGAAGTCATGATATGGTGGTTCGGGCATGTCTTCCCATTGCCCTCACAAAAAAAATCCTTTTGGGAAAGAAAGGATTTTGATACAAGAAGAAGAACGGAAATGCTCAATAGATTACTATTACTGCGAGGGCGAGTGTGTGCAAGGACATCTGAACGCATTTTCTATGCTAACATGTGGCTAGTGTTTGTTAAGTTTGTGCCAAAGAGATTGCAAAGACAAGGTCACTTTTGCCAGTGTCATGAAAGCAATGCCGTTGAGCCCAAGGCTAACCCCAGAGCCTAATCTATGCCAAAATATAGAATACAGGGAATACCATATCGTTTGTGAAAGTCAGAGGGCACTGTATTGGATTAAAACCGATGCCAACGCACACCCACCCAATGTTAGCCATGTTCCCCTTGGTGACAAAGCAATGAAAAGTTCTGTTCCACCTCTCATCTTTCCGATACTGAAACTATATCAAACTCCTTCTTTGTGAATGTTTGTGAAGTGGAAGGTGAGCCGGTTCTGCTGTGGATGTGAGCTGTCGTACATTTCTTGAAGTGCGCATTGCATTGTACCTTGAGAAGTGCCTCAAATCAATTTCGAATCGTTGTGTCATGACAGTTCTGGCTTTCCCAGTTGATGCCCGTCATAAATTATGACATAGCACGTATGAAGAGTGCATTATGCAAAGTCGCCTTGGCATGAAAGCCCCATTCCGATCATAATCATCATCACTCCTTGGGAAATGCATTAGACTAAATAATACCGCTATTTCACAAACATCAGTTTTGATTGCTGCGTTCAGGTGCAATGTTTATTTCTATGACGTCTTCTTTCGTACACGGAATATTAATCTGTGAAAAATCCACTGGCTCTATTTACAGGTATCTGTGTTGATACAAACGAAAGAAATGGAGACACAGTTCGCTGTGGATTTTTGTACAGTAGGGCAGAGATGGATTGTTGTACAGTAATCCCCTTGCTGCCGCATTGTCAGTGCGAATTCTGGAGAAGACAAGCGGACTTACAGTAATTGCGGAAGCACCAGATTGAATAAAGTTCATTTGTCGTTCAAGTCTGGTTAGAAGCACAGGCCTACACAAACTACATGGTACTGTGCTGAGGAGAGAAATTGACGAACATAATGAGATGGTGACCAATTGCAGGGGACCATTACATTTCTTGCCCTCTGTGCGACGACGGATCAAATGGAGCGAATGCTGTATCTAGATATTCCTTTGCAACTGTTCGAGGGTACGCATCAATTTGCAGCGATGTCTCGTTCCTTGAAATTCGATTCTTCTGCCTGTTGATCATGGATTTATGTAACCCTCTTGTCAGGATTTTTGACTAGTTCCGTGTGAGAGAAGGTGCACCCTCAGAACAGAAAACAGCATCGATTTCAGGACTCCCATACTGCACCTTTTCTGAGGGTGGGAGCACTTCAAGAGTTGGCAACTGCAGAGCGTGACAATTACATCATTGTTCGATCATGTACAAGGGCGAGAGATGTCCATTGCAATAATCTGAAGAAGGAACACCCACAAGTAGAGAGCAGGTGCCTGCTCTCTACTTGTGGTGCCACAATTTGCTGCATTTGCTGCCTGCAGCAAATCACATGAGTTTTTGTTTCAAAAATTTCTGATAACAATTGCCAGGTGCGCTTACCTTTGCTACACAGCCCTGAGCCGGCGTTGAATATATACCTGACACGTGCCTAAGCCTGGGTTCAACACTATATTATATTCTCCTTGTCGAGCAGTACCATTTCACGAGGGAGCCTCGCTGAGTTAAACTTTTTTGCGAAGTGCTGGGGCGATTTGTGATTTTCGGAGTCTTCCATTATAGTTGATGTGTCTGGAAAGAAGACGTATTCAAAAAACTACCCTTCAGCGTATCACCATTCGTTTCAACCTGCATGTCCCTTACTACTTTAGCATGATGACGTCGCCAAGGGGTTCTTACTCGGAAACCGTGAGTCATCTCTCAAGGACAGATTTAAACGATTTACATTGGCCTAGAATATACAGTAGTGTAGTGCTGGAGGTACAACAGCGCACCTCGTTCAGAGCCTCCGGCAACAAGTCCAAAACAGAAACCAGCAATGGATCACATGCTCCATAACCCGTGTGTAGGGTTTTGTGCCTCGCCACGTGAGTACTGTACGGACAACGTTTTGCAATGTCATTTTACTGGAGTTCTACTCTCTGCGTGACATACATCCCACATTGGATAGAAAACGCCGAGACACGGACACGCCCCGTCTAGTCAAGGCTGTCTGGATCATAGCTACTACGGTATACATCCCAGCTCCTCTAGTGTCTAGACGACCGGCAATTTGCCTCATATGAGGTCAGGCTTGGCCTCATATGAGGCCGGGTTTTTTTTTGCAAAAATGTATACATTAAATCGAAATTTTATAAAATCAGTTTAGACACCATTTCTTTAACCAATATTCCCTCGGTAATAGCTTCCTGCAAAACATCGGGATAGCAGTTATGAATACACAGAAATACTAAGAATCTAATATAGTTTCAACAATCGGATGATATTTTAAACAGGCGTTTTGGTTTCGAAGATATCAACAAAAAACGTTTTGATGTTCTTTAAAAAAGCTTCTTCTTTAGGTATTCTCAAAAAGCCTGGAAAGGACGTGCACATCTCACCAAGCTCCACCCTTCCACAGCGCAGAAGTCAACTGCGGTGGCGAGAGTATCTTTTTCCATTTTGTTCAGCTAGCACAAGTCGAGAAAAATTAAGTTGAAAAGTGACCTCATATGAGGCCATTTGTCACCTAGACACTAGGAAGATGATTCACTTTGCCGTAGTGTGTTACAGTCACGGAATTGGAACCTGCTTATTCTCCGGAGTTGTAAGTCACACTTACGAAATGCTCTCGCTTTGGCGGTCATGATTCTGCGGGTGCTAAGTCAAAAATACGTAGACTTGCCTCCCAACTCGCATGACTTTGCAAGCAGGCTCCAGTGTAAGTAGTGCTTCTCCTAGCCTCTAACCAGATTTCGCCCCCAGCGCAGGAACAAGAGCCTTTCCTGGTTTTCATCTGATATAATACATCGTCCTTGATGATCTGAAACAAACCCTCCTGCTCCCGAAACGGACAATCGGGAAATCGTCATTCGTTCGAACACTGGGGTAGGGTGAGGAGTTGTACAAAAATTACAAGTCCGCCAGATTCCACGCCCGCCGTTACAGTAACTGGCATTCTGATGTGACTCTCAAAGACCTCCCTCTCGCAGACAGACGTCCTCGCCAGATCATAACGCAAAAATGGGACAACTCGTTGCTTTCTGAGCTGTTCTTGTGACCAACTTGCCCTAGCTGCACCAGATGACTGTACATAAACGAACAAAATCTAAAGTCAGAAAAATAAAGTTTTCGATCGTGAAGAATGCAAAAACGAATTCAGCGGCCTCGACCGGAGTTCCGTCCACGCTTTGCACGCTTCCTGAACGTGGCGATGCTCATGTGAAGTCAACTACGGCATCCCTTCTTCGCATACAGCGGCACTCTTGTCCTACCGTTAACGGAATGTGATTAGGGATTGAAGAAGGGAGGACGCGGCTCCGCCCAGCTAAGGCATTCCGGCGGACGTCTTCATGGATAGAGACGCACACCGTATACTGTTCTTGTCCAAGTCTCAACAGCCCCTCTTCTGGTTCCAATTCCCACTCTCTCCGTTTCTCAACTTGCCGTCCAAGTAGTCTCGCCAGTCCCCGTTCGTCGTGAACAATCACAACCGCATGCTTCTTCCTGAACAAAGAAAATTGCAAGAAGGTCATCGTGAGCGCTACAAGGAAAATCCAGCCCACTGGAATAACCCACCACAAGGTAACCACGGTCACTGCTTTCTCTCCCTCGGGCAAAAGAAGCCTGAACTTCTCCTCTTTGCCGTATGCAGATATGAACAGCGTATGCATTAAATTATCAGTTGTTATATGCATGAACTCAACCCATAACTGGATATTTTCACGGTCTGCCTGAATACGACGACATAAAGCAGTAGTTTCTTTCGCTCCGGGGCTCAATTTTCCCCTCTCGCATGCCCACGCGTATTTTCTATTACTTTCGTAAAAGACAGAAATGCACGACAAAGGGGATAGTGTTGGAGGAGATTCCAACCCACAGTCCGAGGAAAGTCCTTGACATACGGATTCGCCGTTCTCACACGTATACCTTGTCAGGTACAAACCACAATCCGGGTCGGGAACACAATGTCGTAACTGGACTTGAACGTCCTCATCACGGATGCCCATGGAATGAATGTAAACATAGTCGTGGAGCTCCGGATAGCACTTGCTATTAATGACGGCACCGAATGTGAAATTCTCATTATTCTCACTGTCTTGGCTTAAGCAGCGTTGTCGAAGTTCGATAGGGGCGCCCACGTTGAGATTTTCGTCGAAAGCAGGTGCTGGGGTGCGGACTGTTGCCTCGACTTCTTTACTATTAGCTACGGATCGGCCTTCCAGGCCGTAATTGCATAAAAAGACAGCAACCACGATGGAAATGCGAAGCGAAAGTAAGATGAAGCGGTTGCGGCCTTTTGACATACATATTCCACCCCCAACCAAGGGGATCTCGCATGGGACAAGATCAAGGCGGTTGTTCTTTTGGAGGGTGAAGTGGTTGATATAGCCCGCGAGAATGCCGCTTATGTACATGACATAGGAAATCATTATAAAGTCAAGAACAAGGAAGTTGACGAGAGTGGTAACCTCGGAGGGCATGTTTATCGTTAGGACCATGAGGTACCTGGCGATCAAGGGCGGACACCATGCGGTTCGAAAAACGAGAGCGGTCAGTTGCGAGCACGCGGCGTTGACAGATATGTGGAGAGAGGGCGGAAAGTCAAGTTTCGGATGTAGCGAGCAGAAGGAACGGTGCGGGGAGAGCAGGAAACTTTGGTCGCAGAATTAGGCGACGGGGCACGGTCGGCTCCTTTGTCGTTGTGCCTCATGCACGTGGGGATGGGCAGGAGGCATTGGGAGTGCGGAAAGGGGGGGGTGCGGAAGGGGGGGGGAGGGCAGGAAAGGGGGAAGGGGAGGGGGAGGGGAAGAAAGGGAAAGGGGGAGGGGGGTGACAGAGGTGGGGGGAGCCGGGAGGGGGGGGTGGGGAAGGAGGCTGGGGAGTGGTCGAGCTAATTGTGCGAATGGGGATGGGTGGGTGGGTCGGTTGCGGGTACTGTACTGCAGGTGTTGACAGGGCAACGGAATGGATGACGTTAAGAGGATCGGGTGAGTTAACTGCGTTGTTGCCAGGCGGTTGGAACTTCCATCTGCTTCATGAAACGCCACTTCCAAGTTGGAAGTGGCGTTTCATGAAGCGGAGAAATGAGCGACGCGGAGAAAGGGAGGCCACCAGTGTAGTTTGTAATCAGCTGCCAATAATATGGGAAATTCGAGACCATCAAGCTGCTGGCGCTTGTCCATCTCGTTTTTCGTTTTCCACACTTTGCGGAATATATTATTTTACATCCGCAAGGATCCAATCGCCCAATAGTGATGACTCCCCGCCCTGTGGTGATATTTCATCGCACCTTTTTTCCTCTGCAATTCCGCACATGTACCTTCGAAGGTACATAGTCTCCTCATTAGCCACACAGTCCACTACGAGTGAACCCTGCCTCCAAACTATGAGTGAGGCCTACCCTTCGAATAAGATTGGTGAACCCCGTGGTATTCTTGGAATACACTGTGCACAGTACCACTCCAGAAAAGTATTATTTGGTAAAAAAGGCTAATTTGGTGATTCAGTTCTCGTTGCTCCCACCGTACGAAAGCATGCCGCTGAGGTAAACTCAGTGCGGACAATGAGTACAGTCATTCATCCCTGGACTCCAGGGAAACGCTCTGGGGCTTGGAGCATTCATCACGTCTACAGTTCCCCGCAATGTTGCCTCCTCGTCTTCGAAAAAGCTGAAGGAAATTGTCAACAACGAAAAGTCCGCTTCGCTTGCAATAAAAGGGGCAGAGATGCTCCTAAAAATCATGATAGCGTTAACAAGATTGTTATGAATGCAAGTGCTCCCAGGCCACAAGGACCAAGAGAAAAGAGTCACACGGGCAGAAAAGAAACGATTCAGCTGGGGACGCCGGCAATTTATCTGACATTTCGCGATTTTATTGCGCGCAGGAAGCAGAAAAAATTAAGGAGGATCGGCTACAGCGATAAAAGGCGGAGGAGAAGGCTGCCCGGCAAAAACAAAGAGAACTGCAGAAAGAACAGTAAGCAGAAGCGAAAAAGCTGAGGGCACAAAAAAGTCTGGGAAGCATGAAAAGTGGCAAGGCCTCAAAGCCTGTCAACTCAACCAAGAAGCGGGCACGATCAACTGCGGTTCCAAAGGCGCACGAAGGCCCCTCCCCAACGTGCGTCAACTCCTCATCATTCCCCATCAACGTTGCCGCGTCCGCGTTACTTGGTCTTTCTGGTGCCGGTCAAATTACCAAGTAGACCTTTTTCTAAAACATCTGTGTATTGCCGCACCAATAAAAGAAAATTTGGGGTTTCTCTGATCCAGTACGGCTAGAGATTCTGTATCTCCTCCCAGTTGATTAGCAAACGCAGAGCATCCATCACTACCAGTCTGACCTCATTTGGGCAAGGGGAAGTAGTTTTTCAAGTTAATTTAAAAAAGATGTTACCAAATTCTACCTTCGGGGAAGGGTACAGCCAAAAATGCTCGCAGCGTGAAACGCTGCATCTTGCATGATCTGCAGTGCATATATTTTGCGCAGGCTGACGAGGGCTCGTTATTATACCAAGGGTGCTGTATTTCAGTACTGTATTCAGAGACTTTGGAGAAGTCTTGTGCACAACTCATATCAGCTCACTGAGGCGATATTTGGGGGGACCCACCTAAAATTATTAAGAATTTCTACATTTCAATGCCAAACGGCGCATGGTAGGATCAGTCCAGAATGATTCTACCGTACTGTAACAGTACTAGAAAGGAGGCTTCACTGTACTTTCTGAACTGCCACTGTTCACTTCTCGTTCAGTGCCTTAGCCACCTGTCCCAACCTCTTACAGGGGGGGGTCGCTCAATAGTGCCTACTTTAGTAGTGCTTCCCTCTATATAGTGCTATGGCTCACCCTCTGGCACAGGTTATCATAAGCTCACACGTGTATCATCCGGCATGGTTCAGTACAGTACTCAAAGGATGAAGTTATTTAGTTGTGTTATACAGGCTATGTTGTGTTTGTGTTAGCAGACAAGTGCTTTGTCCCCAAATATATGTATTTGAGCCTCCTTTATATAGTGCCATCCCTCCAATAGTGCCATAGCTAGAGGTATGTCACGCTATAGCACTATATCGTAGGACATCTCACCATTCCCCCTCCTCCCATATCAAACTCGATACTCGCACTCTCAACTATTAACCCACTTGCATTAACCGTAACCTCAAGAGACACTATTCAACTTGCCAGCTACTCTTCCTGTTATACCAACCTGATTAAAGGAAAGAAAACACACACACGCACACACACACACACAACTTCTTAAAGTGAGTACCCCCATGTCAAATGAGATCCGTGCCCAACTTCAGTCTTGTGCATGGCGCCCCGTTCGTCTAGTTGTCCGCAAGCATGCATGCTATCAGAAACACCCCCTTTCTACAGTATGCTTTTTAAAAAAAAACTATAGTGTAGTCATGGCTGTCCTACTGTATACTGTATCGTACAGGCAATGAGCCTTCCTTGAGGACCTTGAGGAGCGCACATGGTGCGGAACAGCACCCACAGTCATGTTGCGCCAAGTAAACTTTATTGACAACAACGACAACCAAACAGCCAAAAAATCCTCCAGCTGGAGCTTCTTGCGTGCTGATTCCACACGTCAATCAGGCTGCACCATTCGTAATACAGTGCCTGCAATTCTGATAAAGTTTCTCCAATGTCGACGCACTGGCTACCGAAACTCGAGATCCCCGGACCAACGAATCCACTTTCTCGCAAACCTTTTCTCGATAACACGCTGTAGTTAAATTCGTCACCCATACAATCGTAGCGTGCTTTCATCCATTCCCGACTTTTGCTGCATTGAAGCGAAAGCAACACAAAGCCCTACATCAACGTTGAGTGATGCCATATCAATCGCCATATCGAGGTGGCTGCTCCTCTCTTCTGAATCTCACGATGAAGAGACGTTTGCCTGTCTCCTGCTTCGCGCACGCTTGCCGAATTCCCAGGAGAACAATTTCGGATATGACGTGCTCTGCCCGATACAAAAGACACCCAGATGGCCTCTTTCTTGAGCCAGAATTGACCATCAGGCGTGCACGCAGTATCGCAACATACATTAAACCGGCATGCATACCATCGCATCAACAATTCCCTTCTGCGTCCAATTCTTATTTTTTGGCCACCATCCTTCTCGCCCTCCCGCCCCTTCCTCTTTCTAACAGGTATCGCCATTCCGTCTTCAGGCTTGCACAACACAGACTTTGAATGTCTGTGCTCTAGGCAGGGTTTCAGACGCGGAGCATTCTAAGAGTGATGTATCGATTTTACGAATCCTCATATACTGGCAATGAACGCAGAGCTATTGATGAAGGAACCTCGACGTCATCTAGGTAGTCATTGAGCATCGTCTTCTCCACATCGATTTTGTTGTTCAGCAATCTTGTAAGACCGTTTTCGTCGTTCCCCACATTTTTTGCACCCCGCCTCAACAGGTAGATTGCCCATATCGTCACAATCCACACGATTATGATTTCTACCACAAGTGGAACAAGCCAAAACAAGGTCACTACAGTGACGTTTCTCTCTCCAACTGGAACTGTGACCTCCTTGCGCTCGAAAGCGCCGTATGCCGCTCCGAAAATAGCCCTTTCCAATTCATACGTGCTAAACCGGAAGATTGTGTTCCATAGCTGTATGTCTTCTCGACGAGCTTCGACTTTGAGGCAACTAACAGGTTCATCTACGACGCCAGGACGAGCAGAAAGGACCGGACAAAGCCATACGTGGTCTTTTTCGTAGATGATAGACTCGCATCGGCCTCGTTCGGGCGGCGGACTGGTTTCATTAAAAAGACCCAAACAAGTGACGTCGACTCCGCGACATCGGAAAATAGTGAAATGGAGTCTTTCAGCTCTGGTGAGAGAACAGCCCACGGCCGATGCTTTCATGTTCGTGTAGGTGAGTGCAATACTCTTGATATAGACCTCTGAGGTGAGCTCCGGGAAACACTGATCATCGACGACAGACCCGTACGCTATTTGTTCGTCTGCCACAATGTGCGCGCATCGCATGTTACGCTCTGACGCATTGAACAGCGTGGTTGTGTTCAACTTTTCAATGCGCCCTGGCTTTCTCACTGTTCTTATCCCAGAGCTCTGAACGACGGTTGTGCGGCCCTCCAGACCAAAGTTGGATGCTGTGATTGCGACCAGAATCGCAAAGCGGAGAAATATGAGAATGTACCGAGCACGTGAAGTATTCATAACAAGCCCACCTCCAATCCCAAATGGAGAGTTGAACACTTTCAAGCGAAGAGAGCGGCCTTTGTCTAGCTGCAGAAAGTTTAAGGCACCGGCAATGTACGATGTGACGTGCATCGTGTAGGACATGATCAGGAGTTCGCAAATGAAGAAATTCAGGAGCCCCGAAATCTCGGAGGAGATAGCAACTTGCAACATGCGGCAGTGGGGCGCGAACGACAGCGCCTATTGCGAGGAGAGACTAAGGGAAAGAAGAATGCACGGGCGTGGTCACGATTATGGCTTCAAAAGACTCGAGCCATGTGGTAGAGTTGTAGAAGATGCCGGATGAAAGGGGAAATGTACCGGCCTGCTTGGCTGAAGCCGCTGTCTCAATTCTCAAAATGACGTTAAAGCCGCCCGCAGACCTGAAGCCTGTGCAGTGACAATTGATAAAGCGGCGATCGCACTCAGCTGACGGTAGACAATCCATGGTGCATGCGAGAGAGGAAAGCTGATATAAGTCACTTCTGTAGGCTCTTAGATGAGGGATTCTGTACGTGCACCACACTATGAATGGGTCTGAGTATGGGCTTTCTGTGAAGACTGTGCCCAATTAGAAATCTGGCGTGACTGAGAGGTGCAGCGCCATCCACGTTGGAAACCCTGGAGAACCTTCCACATGTTGTCCATGACATCATAGAGAGTACAGAGAGGATCGTCATGCTGGCAAATTGGACATGTTTTGGTGCTCAAACCGGTCGACATGACTGTCCCTTTAGAATTGGGATAACTTGCACTGGCCCTGTCACGATGCAAATGCACTAGTCGTATTTTTACGACAAAAAGCCAATGACCTTCGACGAAAGGCTTCTAATTGGCGAAACTGGAATCCTTGGCAGGCGCCTTGTGCAGCACAAGAGCCTTGGCTCTTGACAGCATCATCTTCAACGCCAATGTTTGCAATATTCTGCTCTGAATGTTTATGACTGCGAAGGGCACGGAAGTGATAATAGTGTATGTGTGTGACGAAAAGCCATTTGTGCCATCACTCCTCATCAACACCATAGTGAGTTCTATTCCATCTCAATTTTTTTGCCTCCTGCACAGCAAGGAGCGAGCGCAATGGTCATACCTACAGCGGTGGAGACACCTCCTGTTGAGCCCCGTCAGGGGGGCACAGGTACCACGACATTATAGAGTAGTGTTGTCACAGTTGTATGTATGTGCTGTACCTACAGTACAGTAACTTACAATACATACCGTATGGGCAAATGAACAGAAGCCAGAGTTCTGGAAAATGCACCCCGGCGCAATCCCTAACGTCGTTTACAGCTCTGTGCGTTTACGAGGCTTCTCACAGAAACCGGCTTTGCACAGGCCTACAACAGGAGTCTGCCTACAGTTCTTTTCTGTTCTCACTAGAGTTTAAACGTCATTCGCAATTGCGAATGACAGGAGCTCTCTACTCTTAAAGTTCACTTCTGCGAGTTTCTTTTGGGTTCCTTCTTGCGCACTGCGTCCTGAGGAGGACAGCAGGGCAAGAGAAAATGGAGGGTCTTCGCAGGGTGGGAGCAGTTTGGCCGCTTGTGAGAGGTGCGCCAATCGGGAATACCGTACACACAAGAAGGACAGAAAATTCACAATTTGGAAATGAGAATTCTTTGCTTTCACATAGGCTCCTTCTCTGCTGGAACGTGGAAGAGGCCAACAGCGTGACATTCACAACGGCTCACCATCTGTCCAGGATGCTTTCCCCTTTTTGACTAGATCCCAGTCTCCTTGCAACGCGGAGAAAATGCGTACAATATCTCGCTACAGTATCAGCTCATGGCAAGTTCCCATCTAAGGAAAAGCAGTTGTTCCATTGCCGTGCAATGTAATGTTAATGTTAGCTCCTGATTTCCGTGAGCACACGACTAATCAGAATTATTTTCAACCCAACACATTACGGTAAAATCCGCCATAACTTCGTCGTAATAATGGCAATGGACGAGGACCAGCACAAGTCTGTCTCGCAGAGAGATGAAGAGAGATGTGGCATGGTCTTCATGGTCTTGTTGTCCTAGAATTGCGTGACATGGTGAGGCGCTGCCTCTCGACTAGGATGTGCCCGCTCCCTTACCTTCGCATGCTACAGTGTGCCCCTCTCTACCGTTGGCTATTCAGGACAGGGGGCTCTTGTACATTTCGGGCAAAGGTACATTCTTGTTCTCTTCCTATGAGGGAAGAAGCTCAAGCGCGGCCTCTCTTCGTCGTAATGGCAATGGACGAGGACCAGCACAAGTCTGTCTCGCAGAGAGATGAAGAGAGATGTGGCATGGTCTTCATGGTCTTGTTGTCCTAGAATTGCGTGACATGGTGAGGCGCTGCCTCTCGACTAGGATTTGCCCGCTCCCTAACCTTCGCATGCTCTGACTTCACCTGAACAGTGCAACGCACGTGATACATGCTTGCCTTAACATGCGTCAACATCAACATCATGTGAGTCCCCTGTAGTTGCACTGTATGCGACAAGGAGATGCCGCTGTCATACATTCCGCAAGCAATGCTTCGAATCTACATCCACACCAGGCGCAGTGCAGGAGCATTCTTCTTCTTGAGGCAGAGGGACAATCTGTTAGATATACTACGTACTGGCCCATACAAGGATAGTGTGGTCTTGAATACAAAATCTTTCTGCATCAAACAGTTAGTGCATCTCAAAAGAAGGTCTGCGGCCACGGGCGCAGGGCTCCCTAGGTATCCCTTGTTTTATTCAAACACGTTTCTGCTGAACCCGCATGTGGTTTGCAAGTCATGATTTGAGCATCTACAGTACAGCACTGCCATTCACCCACAAACCACCTTAAAGCACTCTGCAACGTCACGAAAATGCGCTGTTCCACTCTCTGAACATAAGGACGCCATTCGCATACTTCCTTTCAACAGGGGGACGCGCCTGGAGGAGGCTCAGAGGCTTTGACGCGGAAGCTTGGACAACGACGACATGAGAAGTGCGCCCTAAGGCAGTATCGAAAGGGTTGGAATTGATGTCGAGCTAGAGCCAGAGCTAGAGTAGACTTGAACTACAGAATGGCTCGTGGGTTTTGGTCGTTTGTAGCAAATTTGTTTTTCTCTTGCGCAGCGGAACTCTACTGTAACAGACGTGACACGCACTCCTATCTATCCTGCAGAGCAGCAATAGAGCCGGCACACACCCTTATGGCACCTACGGTATATTACATGTCGAATTGCCATCTCGATGCTCACCTGCAAACTTCCAGGTGGCCTCCTTGCTTTGATAAGAGGCCATGTCCCTTTCATGCTTCTCTTCCACCCTGAGACGTCGTGGCAGTTCCACGGCTTTCCTCAAACGAATATTTGTAGCGAATTGAGGTGTTCATCAGTATTCATGAGGAGTTTGATGGGGGCGTCTCATCGCCAAAGTACAGTTCATTGGGCTTGCGTGTCGACCGGTGTCACGCCTGGCCCTTGTGGAACATCCGCAGCGCGATAGCGTCGAAAATCCTAATCTGGCATCTATGGGATGGGGCCCAAACTCCCTTGATACATTATGAACGACAACGCATCTCGTTTAAAGATATGGTTGCAAATAGAAAGTTACAGATAGAAAGTATACGGTATGTGCACATTGCGCTGAGCTAAAACGTTGTATTATTTCACGAGCCTCAAAACTTGACTGCTCTGCCTCGGTTCCCAACAGGATCTTCCGGATCGACGTTGCAGCTGTGCGGAAACAGATATGCACAAGGTAGTGGAGGAGGGCATCGCCTCGGGCGGCAGGGAGCGAGTGTAGGAACTGGAATTGAACAGGCACTCGGATGGACGACAGGCAGGGAACAGCTAGGGCGCAGGGCTTATGAGCCCTCTCCCTTCCTCTCGGTGGCGGGAGTGCCCGCAAGGAGCGGGGTGAGGTCCCCGAGCAATGTGCTAAAGGTGAAGGGGACGGGGTGTGCGTTTTTGTCGGGGAAGTTGTCCGAGGCCGCGCGGGTGATGGCGCGGCGCTCCTCCATGACGTCGACGACGGCGTTGCGGACGGAGAAGATGGGCTTTGCGCGGTACTCGCGGATGGCCTTGAGGGCCTTGAGGATGGTGTGTAGGCCGGTGATGTAGCCGTCGTCAAGGCGCATGTCGCGCGACATGGGGCCGGTGTGGGCAAAGTCGATCATGCGGACGTCGCACTTGGTGCGACGCGTGAGTCCGGAGATCTGGTCCTCCGAGAGACGGGCGTTGGGGTTGAGCGTGTGGAGCTGGCGCAGGGCGCGGGCCCAGCGCATGTGCGGCGAGCGGTTGTCGTTGTCGTAGATGAAGAGGATGGAGGAGCCGATGAAGCGAAAACGGGAGTTCTTCTCAAACTGGCGCAGGATGCCCTCGATGGCGGTCTGGAAGCGGAGTGCCAGGTCAGTGCGGACGCCGGACTCGTCAGTCAGGAAGAAGGTGATGACGTCCTGTAGCGAGACGCGGACCGAGAGCGAGTGGCTCTGGGCCTTGGTGCCCTTGATGTGCCCCTTCTCCAGGGTGCGGTACATGGAGAGCCCCTCGAGGCGGACGCCGGCATACTTGGACTTGGTGACGACGTCCAGGGCGGTCATCTTGAGCTTCTTAATAAGTTTAGTCTCTGTGTTTTCGACGGTCTGCTGGCCCATCTTCAAGTCCATGACGCACGGGCGGTGGAAGCCGTGGGTAAGGTTTTGAATTTTGATGGCGTCGCCTGCCTTTGTCCGGCCGTAGTACTTTGGCAGCAGGACGGACGGCCAGTCGCCGGCAGCGGCCTGCTCGTAAAATTTAGCCTCCCTCTCGGTGACGTTCTTGACGAGTGTGGCACCGTCGTATTGGAATGCGCCCTCGTGGCCGCCCGCCTGGGCGAAGGTGGGGTCGTCGCTGTGTGCGCTGGTGACGGCGTTCTTCCCCTCGAGCGAGACGAGCTTGAAGGTGGCCGGGATGACCTTCTGGCCGGCGGAGGACATGGAGATGTTGTCGTCGGGGACATCGTCCTCCACGGGCGGTTCCGAGGTGTCCATGCGCGAGAAGGACGGCTTGCGCAGCGTGACTAGCGTCTCCATCGGGCGCCGCGACGACGTGCGCTTGTGCCACGAGCGCGACGACGGGAACGACGCGCCCGACGCGGTCGACGTGCGCGAGTCCGACTTGCGCGACGTGAGATGCATGGTGCGGTGCGTCGGGCATGGGCGGGGGGCGGGTGCAGATGGGGAGACGTGTATATAGAAGCTGCGGGGAGGCGGGGGAGGGGAGGGGGTGGGGGGAGGGGGCGGGGGGGGGGTTGCTGGAGATAGGAAGGGATTGAATGCGGTTAGGCAGAGGACCGGGTTGCGGAAAGCGCGCACTGATCCAATAGATGCACTATGGGATACCGGTTGGAGGGGTGCGTTTTGGGACGGGGGAGGGGGTTGGTGTGTCGAGAAAAGGGGCGGCGTGCGATGTGTGCGTTAAACTGGGCCGCAAATGGCTACAACAATGGGCGTGGATGGAGTGCGTCATGGCATTAACGCGACAAATGTGCGTGCAATTTCTTCCGCATGCGGAAACAGCCTTGCCCGCCTGCCCGCCCGGGGAGTGGGCGCTGTGAAAATATGACTGGAAGGGCAGTTGGTGTCAGACTCAACCAGTTAGAGCATCTCCACCAGGCGTTCGGGAAGGATACTAAGGATACTGAACTGCGGTTGGCACCCCGGTGTTCTATTAAGTCGGCGGCGACGGCCGCTCTGTGACCTCGCGCCCTCCCGGGTTGTCGGAATATAACAATGTCTAAGAGTCGTTCTCTACTTTGCTCGCCCCTCGGCGTGCGGCCGAGGCTCCGGCGCTGGCGGCCCCTGCCGCCACAAAAGCGGCAGGGCCTAATGGGTGTGACGAAGGAGGGCGGTGTCGGACGAAACTAATGACCACCACGTGGTCTCGGCGTTACACCCGAATACTGCAAATAGTGCGGGTGAAAATATAGTGCGGGTTCGAAATTAGTGCAGACCGCAGTAAATTGTGTTTCTCGCGTATCGCCAATGGCGCAATTACTGCGGTCCGCACTAATTGCAAACCACACATCTAATAGTGCAGTCTCAGAAGGCAGCCAATTCGCTGTCCTGCGCGCCATTTTTGACAGATACGAACCCAAATCTGGAACAAAACGCCATTGTGGTGTTTCGGTTATGCACATATAAAGGCCTACCTTTTCCATTCTTACATCAAAGCCGCATCCCGCCGTCCGAAAGATCCAGCTTGCGTATCATGACGGTATCAGCATCTCCCATTATTGCTTCCCTCCAAAATGCCGAACGCCTGCAGAACGAAAGAGACGCAGCTTCAACACAAGAAGCTACTGTAGATGCCCATCATTCCTCTGCGGATCCGCCTACATCTGCCACACTCCAACCCAACTTCGGCCTTCCGGCACCGCCGCCCAACACAGCCGCGCCCTCGGCGGTCCGCACAAGAGCGGTCTAACGTGTGCTTACGCGATCAGATCGCGTTAGGATTGTCAAGTGGATGTCTAAGGAGGTCTTCAGGGCAGGTTCTAAACACATTGCCTCAAAAGCTGTCCGCCAGTTTCCCCATCTGTTCCGTGGCAACGAAAAGGCGAACAATTCTAAGGCAAGTCGCTTATGGAAAGCACGCCTCGAGTACCTTGAAGCAGACGAGACGACTTGCGCGCTGCGCTCAATTACCAGGTTTTACAAGCTGTGGCTTCAAAAGGGTGTATCTAAAGGCCAATCATGGCCGCGGTCGGAAGAGGTCTGCTTAGGTAATGGCGCTGCAAGCCGACCTCCTTGAAGAGTTTGACAGGCTTCGAAAACCGGACTAAAGTTCAATGCCAAGCTGCTCGGGGATCTTGCGAGACAGCTCATAAAAAGTTCTACGAGGGATGAATATTTTCTAAATTGTTTTGATACGTCGTCAAAAACGTTTATTCAGTATATGATCACACCGCGTTGGATCCAGACATTTATGAAGCGGAACTAAATTGTTAGTCACGCTCAAACAGGCAAATTGATGGTTTCCCCGGAGAAGCAAGCTTTTATCGAGAAGAAAGTGGCGCATCATCTTGGCTTTGTGGCTCGAGCGTTTCGTTCAGGACGTTTAGATAAGGACGATGTATCAAATGCCGACGAAACGCACCTTGTCATCAACATGGGCAACCATCGAACGTTGGGAATTTGCGGTGAAGCCGAGGTAAAGTATTCGGACGTAGTGTCTGGAGCGGAAGGGATGACAGTGATTGTACGTATATCTGGTAGAAGGGATGCCAGAATCGAAGCTCCAATGATGGTTTTTCAGAACAAGAAGAGAAGCTACCCAATTCAAAGCGTTCCTGACGATGTAGCGAGAGTTTCGTATCGCTTGGGGCAGAAGGGTTGGATGGATCGCGAAGTAATGCCGCAGTGGCTGAGGGAACGGAAAGTAATTAGGGCGCTTCGGCACGGCCGCTGTCGTGTTTTGTATATGGACAACTGCAGTGGGCATGGTGAGACTGCGGCAATGTTGGAAGCGTTGAACGAAATCAACACAGAGGTCAGGTTTTTCCCGCCGAACTGTACGGACCTACTGCACCCCGCCGATTCCTTTGTGATACAAAAGCTAAAAAGTGCTTGGCGTTGTCGTTGGGACCAGCACAAAATGGAGCACATAATGGCGGGTGACTTTACGGCTTCTTCTGGCAAGTTGCCTAATCCAGGCAAGCACTACTTTCTGGAGCTCGCCACAGCTGCTGTTCCGGATGTTAACGCACAACGCGACAGCGAGGGTCCAACCTACGCACGGAAAGCCATGATTAGATGTGGCTTAGCGCTCAACACAAATGGGCAGTGGGAGGAAAGACAATTGTTTCCCAACCTACAGAACATAATTCAGAGGCATAGAAACCATTTTGAGGGAGCTCCTGTGATTGCAAATGAGGGCCAGATGGTTGGCGAAGGCGCGTAGAGATATCCAGTACCCTTACACAATAAAAATCTCAACTCTTCTGATTGGTCCAGATTGCATTCGGCAGTACAGACAGAATTAGGGTAGACCGCACTATTAAGAACAGAATTATTTACTGCGGACCGCACTAATAGGGGAAATGACTTAATTAGTGCGGTATCAATATTAGTGCGGACCGCAGTAAATACCGTCACCTCGGCTTCGAATTGGCGCTCCAAAATAGTGCAGACCGCACTATTTGCAGTATTCGGGTGTAGCCGGGATCTATAAGGGTGAGCGCGGTCTGGTAGCCCGAGTAAACTTCATCTTTCTCTAACTCTCTTCGTTTGTCTCGGGACCCGATTGACACCATTTGCATCTTGTGATTCCATGGACACCGTTACCCCCGACCCTCTCGGGAGCGGGGAACGACGGCGACTTTATTGTTCAAGTGAGTGAGGTGCTGTAATGCTGTGTCTTATTCTGCGTGTGCCTTACTTGCTTGGCTCTGGATGGAACCATGTGTTGTTTGGTTCTGGTGCATGCTAGCCGAGCGTCTGTTGTCAGTTCTGAATGGAACCACACTCCCCCCGACGCGAGGGCTGGTGTGCGCTTGTTGGTTGTGCGCGGATCTGTATGTTTTCCTTGTGCTTGGTGTACAGTATTGCTTTGAGGGGTTTTTGTAAATATGTTTGCATATTGTTCGGTGGTGAGTATTCGTAAGATTTTGAGTTCCCCTTTTTTCACTCTGTCGTGCAAACAGTGGTACCTGACGTCGATAAATTTTCTTCGTCGTGTTGCTCCCATATTTTTGCTATTTGCACGGCGGCTGTATTGTCGACGTGCAGCCTGAAAGCACATGATGTGATTTTCGCAACTACCGGTTGCTGTTTTGCTAGCCAGTGCACGGGTGCGCCATTGACCATTGTTATTATCCTCGTTATCGATTTCCGTGTGGTCTCGTCATTCGCGTAGTCGGCGTTGTAATACGCACTGACTTACACTGTCCTCTTGTTGCTTGCAGGCATGAAAATGCCTGCTGTTCTCGTGGTTTTGAGGTACTGTACGAGTCGTTGCGCCAGGTTCCAATGTCTCTGCGTGGGGTTTTTGAGGGATCGAGCTACACCTGATCACAGCAATTAACCTTGGTCTATATATTAACCTGGATTCAGAAATAAACTGGACCAGTTTACTATTGGTTTTGACCTGGAGGAAAAAGTCTTATGATAAGTCGCATTTGGAGTTCAAAAAGGGCGAGAACGCATGTCGCCGCCTCGATATGGTCTTTGGGAAGAGAAGCAGCTCTTTTCTGAGCTGCAGACAATAATATCCGAGCATCGTGTCCATTTCAATGGGCAAGAAGTGGAGCCGTAATTTCTTGAATACTTGTCAGCAATGTTAGAAATCAAGGTTAATCCAGTGGTTCATAAATAGACTGGACCATGTTATATCTGATTTGACCATATATTAATCTGGGTTCACAATTAATCCGGACCATGTTACATATGGTTATAGACCTGAAAAAGGGGCTTCAGAATTAAGTTGGCCCAGGTTAATTGCTTTGATCAGTGTAGCGCTGTGGCTGCGAAGGCGATATCTGTCCTTGTGCTATTTGCTATGTAGTGGATTTCCCTATGGCTTTGCCGTAGATCTCGGCGATCTCTGCTCGAATAGGCTCGCTGTCCATGCTGATACCAATTAGTATTTTGCCCTTCTCGTTTTGTTTGCGAAACAGTGAGGTGTCGGATTGCATTTGCACAAATCCATTTTTTGATATAATTGTGGAGCTCTGTGCTGTACGTGTTCGCAGCTGCTGGGGTTCCATATACGTTCCCTTTCAGTTCACTGTGAGTGGTCGGGTGTTTATATGACCGGTCAAACCACTGGGGCTGCCATAAAAAACCTTGTTTTTGTGTTGATATTTCTCGTTGAGATAAGCTCCTGTTATATCAAAGTGCTCGATGGCCATGTTGCTGGAGGCTGCCAGTGGGAAAAGTGTCCGAATTGTTGTTCGGTCGGCTATATATGTCGCTGTTTTTCTGGATCGTAGTGGACATGGGCTTTCATTCGGTCTCCTCTGATGGAGCATCTGTCCTTACGTTTGATATTTGTGCTATCTTTTTTGTACCGGTAGGTCATTGTGGTGGGCATGGTGTCTTTCCGGTTGTTGGTCGGGCTCTGTGATTCCCAGTCTATCGCGTGCATTTGGTCCAGTTGCTCTAGTTCGCCATCATGGGCTTCTCCCCATTGAGCGGCG